GTGTTATAGCCCTGTGAAAGGGCTAGATTCCTTGATATTTGTCGCTTTTTGCAATGCGCGCTTGGCAACAGCCAGCGAGCATCGAATTGTGATGACTTATCAGTTCGACACCTCAGGCCATTGGACTGATATGCGTTCGAAATGCGGCGCGTGTCAAAATGACGACTAAGCGTTTCGACGTACTAAGGCATTTCGAAATACATATGAAGACCAGGACACGTGGAAATCATTAAAGGTGAATGTACTGCTGACTTTTAGCATTTAGGCTATAAAGCCTGGCCGTCGGGGCCCGCGCTTCAGTTTGGAATTTCGACTCTTAGCCCGCGACTCTGTCCGAGTCCTCATCGGTTTCAAAGCATCGTTCAGCTGCTTCCCTGAATCAAAGGATTCTTAAACGGCTTACCCGAGGGACGAACGCATTGCCTAGAAACTGCTGGGAACTCGAGAAGTTAAATATAGAAATAAAATACTTGTAACGTGAAGTGACCAGTGTCAGCATAGAGGCCACCGACACGCGAACCGCCGACCAGGCCAAGCTAAGCGGTCTTTGGTATGTAATTGAGTATTAAATATTAAAGAATATAAATTGTATAGAAATCTCGTGTCAATCCTTTTGTATCCTATACCTATTCCCTTGAAATAGATAGTTAGGTCAAGGTGTGCTTTAGCACTTTAAATAAAGGCAAGGACCCCGTAGTAGGACGTAACACCGAATAACGAGCGGTATAATTTAAAATCTCTGCTCTAATTCGTTCTAGTGTTGAAAAGAAAAATGGTAAACTTATTTCTTAGTAAAGACAAATAGCAGTGAAAAAGAAACAAATTCAGAGAGTAGTGATGAGTAGCAATCGTCTGATTCTGATTCGGATATTGATAAGTGCAGTCGTAGTGATATTGAGTGTCATGAAGATACAATTAACGAAATTTTACAAGAATTGATCATTGAGGAAGAAAGAAAAGCTGATGATATCGAAGAAACTACAATTGACCATTTTAACAATTCAACAGTTTTATTACATTCTACGGATTATCTTTTCAAATGCCTATGACGATCCTTTGTAAGTCGCCAAATAAGCGTCACCCGAATATGGGTGACGCGGCAGCCCTTTAAAACGCCCCTAGCAGGGGCAGGGTGCTCGTAATTTTTCACAGGGCCGGAAAGTGGGGACGACGCGACCATGGTGGGGTCTGGTACTTGATGGGGGTATGCAAGGCATGGTCAGCAAAGGCGCATGAGGGGAATAGTAGTGGGGCTCGAAATACGGGCGAAAAAGAGGGGAAGCGAGCCGCCTGTGAAAAATTACGAGCACCCTGAGCAGGGGCAGCGGTGGTATAACTTTTCCCTCGGCCGGAAAGTGGGGACGATGCGAACATGGTGGGGACCAATAGTTGGTGGGGGTATGCAGTGATTTTCACGGTAGCGCTGCGGAGAGCTTCGCGAACGCGCATGAGCACGCATGAGGGGAATAGTAGTGGGGATCGAAATACGGGCGAAAAACAGGGGAAGCGAGCCTCGAGGGAAAAGTTATACCACCGCTGAGCAAGGGTCTCAGAATTTATCCCTCGGCCGGAAAGTGGGGACAACGAGACCATGGTAGGGACTGGTACTTGATAGGTTCGCTTCGCGAAGGCGCATGAGGAGAATAGTAGTGGGGAGTGAGGATCAAAATACGGGCGAAAAAGAGGGGAAGCGAGCCGTGCGCAACAAATTATACGAACCCTGACCTGATACCTATATATAGCCATGCTAATTGTGAGAATAGAATGGCAACACCGCGGGAGTCCGAATTTCGTGTAGTGCAACTACAGCCGACTGTCGTCGTACGAAAAGTCGGCTGTGCACTACACCAAATCCGGACACCCGCGGTGTTGCCACTTAATTCTCAACATGGACAAGTATTAAAGTAGGTTGTGGTATGTATATCAAGGGGCGCGGTAGCGGCCCGAAGGCAAGTTTGAGGCCCGTCAGGGGGCAGCATTGCCGTCGGGCACCGCGTACCTTATTTTTACACGTAAATTCGACATTTTGAATTTCTTTCGTGAATATTAATTGTTTCCTCTGTACCTTCTCAATGCTTTAATGTCACAATACAGTTTTTGTACACTACTTTACAATGTGTAACAAGTCTTATTTAAAAAGATGTCCTTAATGCAGAGATATTTTTCAGAAGTCACTAGATGGTCCGATATCAAAATCTTTTCTCTTTCGTCTCCCCTATTTCTTTTTACCATGAAGTTAGCTCAATACCTAAATGTGTGTGACCAACTTATCAAATTTTTTAATACTTCATACGCTTTTTCATGAACAATTGAATGTGGTGAACTTAATACAAT